ACTATCAACCGGTTTGCTTAGCAATTTGAATACAATTCACTCTTGTTATAGTGAAGAACAGTTTATATAAAAAAAACTGCTTGATATAGCAAGTTTACCAATAGACTCTTGATATAGTGAAGAAAATCTCACAGCCTGATCACTTCACTATAATGAGAGTGATCTGTAATAAAAATAAGCTAACAATCAAGCTAACCATGGCTTTGGAGCTTTAACCATAGCTTTGGAGCAGAGCCACTTCAAGCTGAGAAATCAAGTTAATTCAGCTTAATTATTAGCTAATCTGTCTCTATATAGCTTAATAGTAGTTAATCATGAAATTTACACGAACAAGAATAAAAAAAAGTAAAGCTTTTTTTAAAAAAAAAAAAAGAAAAAAGAAAATCTTACAGTTATAGCCTCAAAAAATCTAATTTAAAGTGTTAAATAGATTTCATATAACCCATGATCAGTAAATATAAAAAGAGTTTAAAATATACCTGCCTAATTTTTTATAAAATTATCAACTTTTCTTCAAATATACTGTAATGGATAGTGATGATGATCTTTTTGAATTTGTCCCTGATAACAATACAGTTAAAAGTGTCACTAATACAAGCGATAGTGTGAATATCGCATCTAATATTTCTGTTTCAAAAAAATCTAGTAATAGACTTCCCTCTCTTGTTAGACCCTTTTTTTCACAAAAAACCATTGATAACAAGTTAGTACTTTGTAGTATCTGTAAAAGTGAATTCAGCATAACCATGGCTACTAGTAACTTATGTAAATATCTCGATTCTCAGCATCTAGGCTGGGAAGCAAACAAACCAATACCAAGTCAATAGCTTCTTACGTTTATACCCGAAGATACAATTTCAAACCAAATCCTTACACTAGCTCAAAAAACCAAATTTAGTATGTTAGTAGCTGAATGGATTGTATCAAATACTTTACCTTTTTCTGTTGTTTCAAGTCAATCATTTGCTACTATGATCCGATATCTCAATGCTAATATAGACTTGCTTTCACGGGATGTTATTAAATCTATAATTCAAAAGGCCTTTGCCGTAATGCAAAAAGATATTCAACATATTTTTGAACAAATTTCTAGTAAAATTTCCATTACATTAGATATTTGGACCTCACATGCTAATGTACCCTTTATTTGTATCACAGCACATTAAATAAATAATAATTGGAATCTCAAAAATATCTTACTTGACATTTGTATGCTCCCTCATCCGCATACTGGTAAAGAAATCAATGCTAAATTGTGCTTTGTCTTTGCAGCTTTTAATATTTCTGACAAGATTCTTTGTGCCACTACTGATGGAGGCGCTAATGTGGTTTTGGCAATGCGATTGCTAAAGGATAAATTAATTTTAAAAAATTATAATTTTCACTTTCAACCTTGTCGCTGCTTGGCACATATATTGAATCTTATCATTACAACTGGGTTATCACCTATTAAATCATCAATTGAAAAAGTGCGCAATTTTGTCAACGTTATTTCATCATCATTATCTATAACTCAGGATTTTAAAGAACTTGGTCAAACGGTTGGTGAAGGTGAATTGACTCGTAAAATTCCACAGGATGTTTCAACTCATTGGAATAGTACTTATCTTATGCTTTCAGCCTATGTAACCATGCCTATGACTATTTCAGCTATAATTAGACGTAATAAAAATCTTGAAAAATTTAAACTTACCCCACAAGATGAAACTAATCTTCAAGTCACAACCCAGTTTCTAAAGCTATTTTATGAAACCACTAATGTTCTTTCTGGTAGCACATATACAACTTTAGGTATTTCGATTCTGCTAATCGACGACATTATTGAAAATGTTTTAGCATGCATTCAGGATCCAACGAGTCCAGAATTTCTCAAAATAGCTGCAATTCAAATGTCAGAAAAAATTCAAAAATATACTAACGAAATTTATAACAAAACAGCATTTATAGCTGCTATTCTTGATCCTCGGATTAAACTAGAATTAATGCCTATTGACATGAATAATGAAGCAAATCACACCATTTTTAATAATGTTTTTCGATCAGAATATGCTGACCTTATTTTAAATAACTCCAGTACCTCCCTTACCTCCTCTATCTCATCTACCTCAACCTCTTCTACAAATTTAAAAGTACCATTGAACTTAACATATACAGAGCAAATTGCTCAAAAAAGGTGAAAAGCAAGTACCCTTACCAATAAACTGGATGAACTTACTCAATATTTAAATAAGGCCGTTTTATCTATAGACATTGATCCTTTGAACTGGTGGAAACTAAATCATACCTGTTTTCTATATTTGTCTCAAATGGCCAAGGATTACTTAGCTATTCAGTCGACATCAGTACTCTCCGAGCAAGTATTCTCCAAAGCAGGTGATATAGTTAAAGTCAAACGTGTACACCTATTCGAAAAGAGTCTGCAAGCTCTTATATATGTTAATTCTTGGGTAAAATATGGAATTAAGTTTCGTAAAGAATAATCACAAGTTATACGCATGTAAATACGTACCTATATACAAAATTATTCAAATTTGCTCTCTTAATATTTAGCTAAAAAAAAAAGCACTCTTTATTGTTAAAAATATAGATAGAATTTTTATTAAATATTTCTCAAGTTTATTACTGTTGCATAACAGTCAATAAATCGAAAACTTATCCTGTGTATCAAATTTTTATTGATTATAAATCTTTTATAAATTATATTTTAAAAAGCTAAGACATTATTTAATTACTTACTTTCGTATAAATCAAACCTATCTTAGTAAGAGTATGTTTAAGTGATTAATAAGTAGTGGTTTGAGTGATCAATAAGTAGTGGTTCATTATAGATTGTTGGCTAACTCTATCAAAAAGCCCTTACTTTTTGTTTGAGCTTAAGTTATTTAATAAATCCTCTATTTCACGCTTTATAAGATCGCTTATAAGTAATTCATTTACAGTATTAAATAATAAGTTTAACAAGAAATTTGTAAAAAAAAAAAATTCTTGTATAGAAAAGATAAAAAAGCAAGATTTTTGTAAAACCATATTACCATTAGATGGCTCGGCTCAGCTTGAGGTTAATCGGCTTATAAGTAGCTTGGTTCTGGTTGCTTAGCCGAAGAATCGGCTCAGCGTAGTAAATGTTAGCCGTGAGCCGAGCCGAGCTAAGCCGTTCGCATTACTATATATACTATTCTGTTAGGTTTACTACAAGGATAAATGCCCAATATGGTTTGGCTAAAGTCTTAGAGTCATCTGTAGCAATTGCTAATCTTGTATAAGTATTAGAGTAAGATGTGTTACAAAAGTGGTAGCCAGAGGATTTAAATAGGTAACTCCCTAGTTGGGTTATAGGTATAGCAGCTAGTGTGAAATCTAGAGCAGACTATTTAAATAGACAACCAAAAGTTGTATATATAGCTAGTCATACTCTTATTAGAAATAACTAGAGGGCTTAAATAGATAATCTTCTAGTTAGATTGCAGATATGGTAGCTAGTGTAGAACCTAGGCAGACTACTTAAATTAGGCACCCAAAAGGTGCACGTGTGGCTAGTTGTATCTTCGTGAAATGGATGTAATATCATAACTATCTAAATAAAGCTCATAGCAATAGCCTAAATAGTCACCTTAAATATTAAAAAAAAAAAAAAAAAGAATATTAAGTTATATTTTAATTAGATTAGAAATAGATAGCAGTTGTAACCAGAGAGTTTAAATGGGTATCCTCATAGTTGAGATACAAGTATGGTAGCTAGTGTAGAATCTAGAGCAGACTACTTAAATAGGCAACCAAAAGTTGCAGGTATGACTAGTCATATTCTTGTTAGTAAATAACCAAAAAGCTTAAATAGGTAATTTTCTAGTTAAATTGCAGGTATAGTAGCTAGTATAGAACCCAGGCAGACTACTTAAATTAGATACTAATAATCTAATAAAAAGTTCTTGGCCATAGAGATTATTTTAATGCCAAAAAAAAAAAAAATCAATATAATTAATATATAAAGACTTTAAATCTATTATTATTGCTATATAAAGATTTTAAACTACTACATGTTTCAGATAATAGTTCTGAATCAAAATTGTTATTAGACAAAGATACCAATATATAGTTATTAGATAAAAATACCAAATTACAATTATTAGGCAAAGATATCAGACTATACTGTAGTTATTAAGTGAAGACACCAGACTACAATTATTGGTCAAAGATACAATATTATAGTTATTAAGCAAAAATACTAAATTATAGTTATTAGAAAAAACAAAATATTATTATTAGAAAATAATACTAGCTTATTATTTATTATATACTTCTTTTTTATCTATAATTGTTGTAGTTATCTTTTTAATATTATGTTTATAAAATAAGCTTTTTTATTTTTTTTATTTTAATATGCACTCACAATAAATACTTTTTTTTTTATATATATCTACAATAAATAATTATTATAGTTATTAAAAGAAAGCACAGTATTTTTTTTTTTTTTTAAACTTAGACCATTTCACAATTTAGCATCGATTTCTTCACCAGTATGCGGATGAGGGAGCATACAAATATCAAGTAAGATATTTTTGAGATTCCAATTATTATTTATCCAATGTGCTGTGATACAAATAAAGGGTACATTAGCACGTAAGGTTCAAATATCTAATGTAATGGAAATTTTACTAGAAATTTGTTCAAAAATATGTTGAATATCTTTTTGCATTATGGCAAAGGCTTTTTGAATTATAGATTTAATAACATCCTGTGAAGGCAAGTCTATATTAGTGTTGAGATATCGGATCATAGTAGCAAATGATTGACTTGAAACAACAGAAAAAAGTAAAGTATTTGATACAATCCATTCAGCTACTAACATACTAAATTTGGTTTTTTGAGCTGGTGTAAGGATTTGGTTTGAAATTGTATCTTCGGGTATA